GCCCTGAATTCAAGTCCCCATACCAGCATGCACTCTTCTTACCAAACACAAAACCACTTTTTGCAGAGAAGAGGATGTCACAATATCCTATAAAAATCCCATTTTGTAGCTCTGCCTCAAAACGGAAAAGTTGTCAATAGGCTCTAAACAATGACCTCATGCTTCGACCCTGGCCCTCAGGAAACCCAGACAGCTCTGAATATTATGCAAGCCATGTAAACATGAACATTTTTCTAGGGACTAAGCAGAGATTTAATCAGATTTCAATACAGTTTATGGCTCCATAAAAGGTTTAATACCTTTGTTCAATGTATTTAAGAGTACTGCCCAGGCTAAAAGAGAACAGATGACGCTGTAAATAAAATAAATGAGTCCTTTTGAAACTGATTCTAGTGTTCTCATCTTGAGACCGTTCATAAAAGAATGAACCTATTTATCACCTTCCCAGTTTGACAAATTAGCAAACTAAATTGCTAAGGGATTAAAGTTAGTATCTTCTCTAAGGAAAAATGAGACATTATTGGGTTAGCACCAAAGAAGTGCGGCTTAAGAAACAGTCCTTGGTGTGGATTCCTCACACTGTTTAATAACTTTTATATGATTAATAAATCCCACAGGAAGCCAGGTGTCAGTAGCTTGTACCTGAAATCCTAGCCACTCAGGAGGCTGAGATCTGAGGATCAAGGTCAAAGCCAGCCAAGACGGGAAAGTCCATGAGACTCTCATCTCCAAATTAACTAGAAAAGCCAGAAGTGAAGGGTGGTCAAACGGTAGGGTACCACCTTTGAGCGAAAATAATTAGGGATAGCATCCAGGCCCCCCCATCCCCCGCTTCCCTGCCGTACTGGTAAAAAGCAAGCAAGCAAATAAACAAATGAATGAATGGACAAATGAAGGAATGAAACAAATCCTATGGGTCAATCCCAGTGTTGTGCACCATATAAATCATGTGACTCACTTAATATTACCATAGCTCTCAGGACATTTCCTCTCTCCCTCTCTCTCTCTCTCTCTCTCTCTCTCTATATATATATATATATATATATATATATATATATTCAATTTATTTGAATTGAACCACACATTTATAAAGAGTCTCCTTTCTCATTTTTTTCAATGTGATGAAATCAAAGCTCAGGATGCTCCATGGATTGCCAAAGATTGTAGTGCAGATAAATGTTGGAGAAAGGATGTGATTCCAGGTCAGTCTGCCTCCCAAGTTCCACCGGGGACATGCTCTATAAAGCTTGGGTCTTCAGAGGAGGAGACCTCGCCGTCCTGAAGGACACTCTCTTAGACGTCTTTGTATTCCCCAAAGCGGCTTGCCCCCTTCACAGGGCAGGACGCTTGATAAATATTTGTTGGAAGAAGAAAACCTGGACTCGGGCTCTAGCTCTAGCATAGGCTTAGTGCCTCAGTGACTCAGTCTTCTGTAGCTTGGATTTGCAGGTGGTTACTCAGCTGGGAGAATTCAGGGAACATTTTAAATCAATTATGGGTACAGAAGAACCTATTATGTTTTTTCCCCCTTTTGTGTATGTTGGGGTTGAAGTAGAAGAAAGGAAGTCGAGACAGAGGGAAGGCACAGTATGGTTTGGGGAATACATGCGGAAGCTTCTTTAAGCTTTAAGTCACACCAAGAAAGGCCAGGATCTGGCTCATTCCACTCCCTGGCTCCAGTGGCCTAAACAGCTGGGCTTCTGACCTCAGGCTACTCGTAGGAAGCCACAGAGCCCTGAATTGCTGGACCCTTGGCTAGTCACTTTTGTGGAAAACACTGGAGTGGAATGCTTGCATATCATTCTCCCTCAGACTTTGGTATATTTGCTTACCTGATGAACTATGGAAAATTTACCCTCATTCCTACTTTAAGCACCTTTCGAGCCTTCCTTTAGTCCATTCCCACTCTGAGAATCTCTTAGCAGCCATGTCTAATTTGTTGTAGACCCTCATAAAAATATTTTTGTAATCCATTCTGGAGTCCTCCTTCCTACTTTGGAAGGATGTGGCAATTGGAAAGGAGGGACGGGTAATACCACTTGGTTGGTTGGTTTTGTTTGCTTTACTGGTTGACAAAAGTACCTGTTAGTCAAAACCTCCAAAGAAGTCATTTCAGAAATTAAGAAAGAGGAGCCTTATATGAAGCGGATCCCAAGGGATGCCTACCAATAACATTCTGGGACAGGACAATTAAATTAAACCCACAGACCAGCTCAGGACACCCCTCCAAGAAATCTGACATTTCCCCAGTGGCTTGCTTACCTTCCTGTGCATGAAGCAACACTGCCACCTAGTGCCAACTGTTGAAAGTATTCCCCAATGCCCCTGGTCTAGGGTAAGAGATTCCCCCATAGTGACTGGTATGGTTGAATTGCTTGAGTCCTCTGCTGAAGAGAAAAGAAGCCGCGTTTGGTAGACAGAGAATTTTAAAATTGGCGTGGATAAAAGATGAAGAATGAGAGCTTCTGGAAGGGTGTGGGAGTGAAGTCTTGGAGCAGCACCTTGCTCTGCCATTAGTAGAGTAGCAGAACTGTTCCACTTAAAATATCTAACTCCCAGGGTCTGGATTCTCCATTGTCATACTGGATCCGTGAAAAACAAGTGGTGAGCTGCCCAAGGGCTGGTAGCAGGGTGAGAGTAAAGATGGGGTGTCAGTGGGTCTGAATAAATTACTGCAATTGGGATACATTATCCTAAAGAGGGCTTGCTTTGGCTACCTTGTGGCCCCAGCATGGGGTCTATGGAGTCTAAATGTCATCAACTAAGACAATGAGTAGGCAAAAGATAGGTCAATTCCCTGAAGCTCTCTTACTGGAATCTCAAAGAATGGAGATCTTGTTTGCAGCCCCTTTCTCTCACAGATTTTTACCCTAAAGCCTTCTTAAATGCTTCCCGGTGTGTGCAAACTGGAGAAAATTACAGAGGGAAAGGTGAGGAAGTTAGGCCTGGGTGGTCTCGTCCCTAGATGTTCCTAGAGTTCTGACATTCCTAAAGAGGAAATCCCAGAGCATCATAGGGGGCCACATGGATTTAAAAACTAAAGGAAAGAAAGAAATGCCAGCAGATAGACTATCTGCAAAAGAGTCCCTGCCTGCTTGAAAAGGGTTTCGAGATTTCATACACGTGCTTAGGAGAGGAATGTGAACTGAACGTGTGTTCTTGCAGTGTGGGGACCGTTCATTGTGATGGACAGCTGGGACAGGCAGGCAGGCAGGCTCATGGGGTGAGAGTAAGTAATGCAGAAAAGAACTGGAATCACATCATGGCACCACTCTTCCCTGGGCAGAGCATGCTATAGAAGAATGGGGGGGCACAAAATAGGACCTAGTCACCAATGGTCCTGAATCTCTTTCTTAGATCTGGGTTTTAAAAATACCACGCCTCCAGGTACCACTGTTGGTTCACACCAGAGAGGCTGAGGTCTGAGGATCACAGTTCAAAAATCTGCCTAGGCAGCAAAGTCTTTGAGGCTATTATCTCCAATTAAGACGTGAAGTTGTGGCTCAAGTGGTAGAGCACTAGCCTTGAGCAAAATGCTAAGGGACAGTGCCTGGGCCCTGAGTTCAAGTCCTAATACTGGTACCAAAAACACAGCAGCAGCAGCAACAACAGAAGCAAAAAGGCAAAACCTCTCACATATAACCCTATTCAATCTTTCTCTAATTCCTAGAATCTGTTCTGGGTACTTATTGTTGCTTCTGCAAGAGGAGAGGTCAGCAGAGTAGTGGATGTGTGTCTAGACAGCAAGCATCCAGTTTCCCTGGCAGATGGGTACTAGGAAGCAAGTTTAAGCAGAAAGAAGATGTCATCTGGGAAAAAACTGTGAAGCTGCCAACTCTGAACAGAAAATCATCTCATTAATTCTTCCATTTGGCCCCAGAATAAGGATTTCCTTCGATTCTTTCTCTGCCTCGACCTAACTTCCAGCCCAGCCCCTTTTCTCTCCCCCTTTCTTTCTCCCCCTCCCACCTAAAAATAAAATAGAGCAAAACCACAAGACTCAAGAGTGCTCAGTGTCTGGGAATCCCAGCTTCCAACGAAGAAATCACAGCCAAAGAAGGGGAGACAGAGTGTCCGGAAGGGATGTTCCAGCAACACCCCACTGGAAAAGGCTCCTTCCTTCCTGATTTCTGTCCTTCCTCTGAAAGTTATCTGAAGGCATCTAGTAATCTGACAAGGGTTTAATTGGAAGACTTGTCAAGCAACCCAGGGGCCTTAGAGTTCTGTCAAACTTGCCTCTAACACATCTCTCATTGTCTCAATTTCCTCATCAATGTAATGGGCCCAGCAAACATCACAGCATACTGAGGCTAATCCCAACTAATAAGATGAAGTGGTTCTACTTGCCTTGTGTACAGTTCTGATATAAGGGATGCATAGACATTCAATGGAAAATATGAATTCCAATCCCTCCTCCCTTGTTTGAAATCAACCTCCTCCAGAAGGCAAAAAGAAACAGGTACTCCTGATCATGCTTTTTTCTTTGCCCTTCCGGGTGACTTTCCATACAAGGAAAGCTCAAGGGAGGAGAAATAAATACAGATAAGATGCTCAGGTAAGGGCCACTGATTAACAGCACGGAGTTCTCTACCAGGATTCATCTTAAGTGTCTCTTACAACAGCTAGGGCTAGAAGCCAGAAAACTGGCTTTCCAGTGCCTCTTTTCCAGTAGCCCCACTGGCCATATGAGTGACGGTTGGGACAAAGTGAAGGTGATCTACATATGTAGACCGCACCCTTGGTATTGTTCATGAGTCATTATCTTCCCTAAAATGGTGCCTAGGATACTGATGTGTGAATACATAAAGCCCTTCTCCCCCTCCCCCTGCCCCCTTCCTCCTCCCTGGATTGCCAGCTCTCTCCCCTTCCCCTCCTGGCTCCCAATGTCTAACCCAAGCAGACCTGGAGCCAGTACCCCCCACATACACCTCACTCCAGCCCCGCAGCCCCACCCCATCCCGGCCCCCAAACTTCTTAAAAGCCCAGAAGTTGGTGATTACCTGCGATGATGGCTGGGTTGCTCTGGCCTCCCTCGGGCCTCACCCACACTTCCACAGTGAACGCCTCCCGAGGACTCTCAGCCAGGACTTCTGGTTGCAGTAGCAGCCGCTCCCGCCTCCCAGAGAAGTACAAGACAGGCAGTCCTCCTTGGGGGTTAGAGGTGTCCTCTTCCCTGCCGGGGCTCCTGCCACCGTTTTGGATGCTGTCCTTCAGGGGATGGTTTCGAACCCCATACCTAAAGAGGTGCTTAGGCCACAGGTGGAAGCGTGGAGGAGCCACGTGGGGTTCTTCGGGTCCCTGCTCTACCTGCCTCTTGGTTACTTGGTGAGGCTGTGGGGACATGGGGGAGTCCTGCTTTTGTGTCTCTGCTTGGGCTTCCTCCAGGGGTGTAAAGGTGGTGGGAAGGGAGGCAGCTGAGGCCGAGCCTCCCCCTGTCTCAAGCTCACCTAGAGTCACCTGGAATCCTCTGTTGTCCAGATGAGTGCCATCATCTGTCAGCAGCTCCGCCTGTCCAATGGGACCTTCTTGTACCCACAGGTCAGCAGGCTGTTCAGCCTCGCTCCTGGCTCTTGCTGGTCTGTCAGTCGGATCTTGGGGAGCAAGGCTGCCAGCCCGGCCCTGGGTCACTGGTGTACTGTATTCTGCCTGATGGGTTTTCTGTTCCCTGGCTGGGTAGGGCCTCAGATGATTTCCATGTCTTCTGGGATAGACCCCAAAGGGGTGATGCTGAGGAGCAAATCTGGGTCTTTGAGGTGTAGTCCCCAACCAACAACGTTCTCCTTCCAACTGCACCTGCTTCGGGCTTGACCTGGGAGCCAAGGGTTTCTTGGGTGTCCTATCCAGCTCAGAGCTGCCAGTGCTGAACACCCACCCAGCCAGGATCACCAGGCTGATTCTCAAGATCTTGAAATACATCATACTTCCCTCAATTCTTCCCACTGAGTCAGAAATCAAGTTCTGGGTACCACACCACAATGATGAGAAGTGGAAGAGTCAGCTAGTAATGGATTTGCAGTCACCAGGGAAACTGTTTAGTTCACCAACTAAACTTCTTCAAGGAGCCCCCAGAAGAGAGCCTCTCCTGGCTACCTGTGCAGGAAAATGCTGCCAGAACCTTCTCTGCCCACTGTTTGCTGGCTCGGCCCTTGCCTTCTACCTCTCTGTATTTTAGTCCTTAAAGAATAGAGTTAATTGATCTTAGTTCCTTTGAATTTCCTCCCAAAGAGCTCAGGTTTCTTTCCCTCTTCTTCTTCTTCTTCTTCTTCTTCTTCTTCTTCTTCTTCTTCTTCTTCTTCTTCTTCTTCTTCTTCTTCTTCTTCTTCTTCTTCTTCTT